TAATCCTAGTGGACAGTCCAACGAACTCGAACGTTGCATCGAGGGAACATGCGAGGACGGTGAATCGTCGATCGGATTTCGGCGTCGATTCGTCGAACCGGTGGATAAATCGAAGATATCCGCGGTGTACAAATGGGATCGCGAGGCAGCGATTTTAGAAGGAAGAGGTTAAATTTGGTGGAAAGAAGGAAACGAGAAGTCGGAGAAAATGTAAGGAACCAACGGAGCTTAGGAAGACGTCGTCCCTGACTTTGAAAGAGGGTGGCAGGGAGTAAGGGGTGAGTTCACTGGGGGGACTAGAAGCGAGGGTATGGGAACGGTAGCGGGGATGGGGGGTTGAATCAGCGCGGGGGTGTATGGGGGAATTAGTAGATGGCCGTGGACAATGTGGGGGATACTTTCTCATATCAAGTATGGCCGCCATCGTGGCACGATGGCCAAAACAATAGTAAGTAGAGAGATCCGTAGGCAGTCGTCGTTCCTCGCAACCCCTCGCTATCGTTATTCTTCCTCCCTCCCATTTTCGAAAATCTTACATTCGGATACCGTCCTTGAGACAACGAGACAACATTTTAGACGTTTCCCATTGTTTTTCTCGTGTTTCAGTGCGCAGTGAATAAAGTGATGTTATCGTCGTTATCGTCGCCGTTATCAGTCGCGAGCTCGTGCCTCGTTCAATGAAAAGGATTCATCATCGTATCGCTATAGTTAACAAATGGATAATGACAAGGAACCAGCCAATCGTGAACATTTTCCATTCTTTCACGTGGGCAAGTTGCTACTGATTACGGTAAGTGTCGTACGAAGACATTGTAACTCTCGAAATCGCTTATGATCTAGTCGACCCCATCGTCGTGAATAATCGTCGTCCAGTTTTTCGACTATGGTTGCCGATACTCTCGCTTATCTTTCATTAAAACGTCGTCAACGATGAAGAGCGAACGTTCCTCCGATTCCATCTGTCTCAGACGGAATAGTAAACTCCTCGCGCGCAACAGTACACGCGATTACTCGTTCACATTCTCACATTCGACCTTCGCGATTTTGCGACCAATTTTCCTCCATTGAGTAACCCGAGAATTCCAGCAACGCGTACAGGTAATTATTGCACTGAGGTCATCGGCGAAGGAGGAAAAGAAACGATCTCGAACATGGTATTTCATGATACGACGCTACACCGTCGCCCATTCGAGGAAGACTAAGAGTCCGTCCGATATCCGCCGACGTCTTTTGCATGCGAATACTCCACGTGGTTCATCCGACGACACGCATTGCGCAGATCCAACTTTCCGCGATCCCCACCTTTATGTGAATCGCACCTTTTACATACTTATTTCAGGTACGAATAACACACGACACTCGATTAACCTATCTCGGTCACGTGGACGCGTTTAACCCTTCTTTAAAATACTTTTATCGACTTTACGACCGAGCGCTTAAGAGGAAGCATTCTTATCCGTTCATTCACGCGAACCTCTTAATCCTCCTCCGCACGCTTCCCATTCAAAATGCGTCAAACGAGTTTAACGTCTCTTTCGGACCGTTCAAAAATCGAGAAGGGAACGAAATTTTTTCGCGATACCTCGTTCATGTTCGATCGGTCCCGATCGAGATAATTCGTTTTTGAAAGTTTGAAAATCGAAAGGGTTTAAAAGTTTGAAAGTTTAAAAGCGAAATGCAAGCGGCTGGATCGAGCTGGATGTCAACGAATCGAAATTGCAGCGACGTCGATCGCAAAGAGGAAGGTCAAAGTGGCGAGACGGAGCGTGCTAGATGTTTAAAGAAAAGAGGAGTGGGCGGGTGGATAGATTTTCAGTACTGGCGCGATGATATTTGTCTTGTTTACGGACAGACTTATGCGCGTGTGCGGACCAGTGAAGTTCGCTGCTCGATCAATAGGCCTCTACTGAAATCACATATAAACGCACTCACGCGCACACACGCAGGTTACTGTTCGAGCGGGCACACGCACGCGAGGACCAACGCAAAAAGTTCGCGAGCTCTTCTTTTCCACTTTCGGCAATCGGGATGATCGAACGACCCGACGCGATACTTCCATAATTTACCCCTCTCGTCCTCTTATCGATTCCGCAAATTCCGCTTTCCGCCGGGCTTTCCCGCTCGCCGGTGTCCAAACATTCGATTCATCTTAACCATCTTATCTCGCGAGTTTCCGCGAGTATTTTCCCACCCGGTTGCCACCAATGTACGTATACGCGTATAAACGTACGCGTATATGTACATTTCCGAGAAACGGGGTACGACGAAAACAGGTGGAACACGTACACGGGTCACGAAGCGTGTGTCGGGCATCTTGACCGGCAATCTCGTATAGATTACTTCGTCGAATCATATCGATTCGATGCATTCAATATTAATTACCGTACGAACCGCCACCGAAAACGCATAATTTATCATGCCGTCGGTTCACGACACGATAAAGGGTCAGCTGCGACCGCCACGCATCCGCGAACTCTGCACGCGGCATATGTTCGTCGCAGCATCGTTATTTTGTCAAGTCGAAACGTTGTTTAGCAGAGTATAATACGCCCACGCGACAAGCGCCACATACGATTTGTGGAAACGAAAAGAAGGCATATGCGTTATACGCGCATCCACGGTAATACCTCTTTCACTGGATGCCCCTCCGTATGAAAAGCGCGATAGTTATTTCCTTCTGTCCCCCTTCCGCGTCGTGCTTTCCACTCTTAAACAACATGTTTTCCACGACACCCTTTCGAGAACGACGAAATTCCCCTCGGGCCCCTCCTTTCTGCTCGTTGCCTGTCATTCATCCAATTTTGGCCAGAAACGGTGCAAAGGCTTTTCCACGATGTGCCGGGAACACCGGCCTACCATACGGGCGTATTTACGCGTATTTTTCGAAAATCCGTCAAATGTTACGCAGAAATGCGGGTTTCGCCTCGCAACACCCTGTCCCCCTGTCCTGGCCTGTTTTTCAACCATCGCGTAATCCAATTTCGGTAGGCTGACAGGCGGCCGTCCAAATTTCGGATAATGACCCCTACCACGTCCCTACCCATTCCAAACTTCAATTTATGCATTACAGCTTTTACTTTCGACGCCAAGGATAAAAGTCAGGGGTCACCTTCGCTATTCCCGGTTATAAAAGTTGCCGTCGTTTAATTAACCGTTGCAAAATGATATAACCGATCCGACGATAAAAATATCGAATTCCAAAGATAAAATATTTCAAGGAAAAATCAGACTCGCGCTGTACAAACTGCTGTGCAACTTATCGTTGTATACCTAAGAAATGATAATAGGATGAGAATTTTTTGTTAAAACCCGAGCGTTAGAAGCCGAGCACCCTTTATCGAATCGTCGAGTTTTTGCGTGGAACGCGATTGGTTCTCGATCCTCGAATCGCAGTCAGATCGATCGAAACGATTCGAAAATCATCGGTTCGGGGAATACAGTTAACGATGGTTAACGTGGTGGGGATATTTGTGTGATGGCTCTCCGAAGGTGGTAGGGACGAAAACGATGCGACAGGCCCTTCACGGGGCACCGTGCCTGCACCTAACAGTAACCTGGGAGAGTTCATAGAGGCGTAAGCGTGCGAGCACCATAGATTAGCACCTTTTCAAGATCTTTAAATTCCCTTTCGAGATCCTCCGACAGCGTATAGCCAGCTGTTTCTTTCGACCCTTTCAACGATTCGCCGCGTTTTCCCTCGTCCACTCTAACTTTAGTCCAATTTCATCCCTCCGGCCAGTTTTAGCGCGATCGAACGAATATCCTTGAGTAGAAACACCCTCTCCTCCTGACCCCTCGTTTGGTCGAGACGTTCCGTGGAAATCGTAAAATTTATATCGAGTGGCTCGTTCTTTCGAGGGCTCGTTTGACCAACGCCATCCTAAGGTAACCCCTCGGTCTACCTACCCTCCTCGATGCCACGTGCCAATAACGCCTTTGCAGCATTCTTCGCGTCTTAAAAGGAGAAAAGGCAAAACGATTGTTTCCCGTGCTGAACGTGTGGCTGCGTGTAGTTTCAACAAGAAAGTGCTGTTTACGCGCGATTTCTTCGATAAAAATGCGCGATAAAGTTCCACGTGATGCCCAATGGAATTGTGTTGTTTCGGAGCAGACCTATTTGCAGTCGACGATATTTACCGGATGGTCTTGAAACGAAGATGTTTCGCGGATGACTCTAATCGGTGACACCTGATTTTCTGCGAGGGATCGGTTCTCGTATCGGTAAGAACATTTCGTTCGCTTTGTTTCGGTTCGCAGACGTTATCTTTTTCTCCTTGATAGCTTCCATTATCGATATTACAAACCGTCTAATTTTCCGTGCCTTCGTCCAGTCTCGTTTCGATATTACCCCACGTAGCGGACGTGACCACTAGCAGAAACTGGCACAGTTCAATGACCTGACTATTATTTCGTGACAGGAGGCATGGGTCTGTCAACTTCAATTAGTAATTACCGTGCTTCTGAAATGCATATTCGTACTATCCTCTGAATTCAGCCCCAAAGTATGGGCGTACATATGAGTCATATAGTTGGTTCCCCAAACGTCTCCCTTTTCTGACTGTGTCCATTCGCGTATAGGGTGTCTCATCGTGGTAAAGGCCGTCAACTCGTGTATGCTTCTTTCTTCGCCGCTCGTTAGGTAATTCTATTTCCAGCTATATTATACAGCCATATTATACAGCTATAGCACGCGCTCGTATAGAAACCGTGCGCGACGAAACAAAACCAGAAATACGGATGAAATTTCAGAATCCATTCGTTCGGACATGTTCATTAGCAAACGTAGGATGTCGTCAGGTTTCGCGTTTCCCGGCTGGCCGTGCTGCCAAACGAATTGCAAAAAATTCTCACCGTGACGATTCGATGATACCGCGAAAATTACGTGGATACAAATAACAATAATAAGAGCGGGGGTGCGATTTTTGTTGGACAGAGCGACGAGTAATCGATAAGGTGGTACGAGATCGGGCCTGTCACGTCCAAGCAAGATGTCCTCGACGATGGCACACGAGACGACGATATCGGAGTTGACGGAATTGGACAGCGACGGATCGAGCTGCGGAGAACGCGACGCCAGGAAACGTCTTCGTTTCGATATGGATTCAACGGGGCCGAAGAAGAGGCGAAAACAAACGACGCCCGTGAGATTCTCTTCCACGTTGATGCCCGGTGTGCACGAGGAATCGAACGAGGACGAGGACGAGGACGAGGACAGCGAAGGTAAGCTGTCGTCGCAATCACCCATACCGAGTCAATCGTCGATAAGAGACGAAAACCTGAATAACGAATTCCGTTGCCAATACTGTAGTCAGTTTTTCGATAGCAAGGAAACGTTGAACGTTCACCTCGACAATGAGCACGGTTCCGCGAATCAGATGTCGCAACAAAGTCAAAGTAGGTCTCCGAATGCCGCGATCAAACAAGAACCGTCTCAGCAACTGGACCAATCTGAGAACCCCGTTAATTTGCTTAGCGTAAAGAACTTCGCGATAAACTGGCTGGCCACAGGGCAACACGTGCAATCGCACGCGCAAATGCAGACGCAGAACGAGGAATCCTGGCCCGGGCCAGCGAGTCAGCTGCCAACGTTGCCCAATCACTTGCAAATCCTCTCTGGCTTTCCTGGCGCCTTGGCGCAGTATCTACCCATGCCCGCGTTCCCTCTAACTGATTCCAATCCCATCGCGAGACCCTCCTTAGGACCAACGCCGGTCAGGATCTTTAATCCGGACGCGTACTGTGATCTGTGCAATAAAGAGTTCTGCAACAAGTATTTCCTCAAGACGCACAAGGCGAACAAGCACGGTATCTACGTCGATTCGCCGGGACCTAGCACCGTGGACAATAGTATTCCAGGACCTCTGTTCCCCGGCAACTTCCCTACCGGCATGGTGAAGCTGGAGCTGCCCGTGACTCCACCGACACCGACCGTGCCGTGCGATCTCTGCCAGAAACGTTTCAAGAACGAGGAGTCGATGCGCAAGCACAGGCAAAAGATGCACACCGAGCTACCGGATCAATCGCAGGAGCAACAGATCAACTTGTCGCAGCACGAAGATGACAGGGACACCTCGAGAGACAGTCTTGGCGGTATCGACACGCTGTTCAAGCAAGAGTACGGGATTGAGCAGGAGGATGCAACGTTCGTGCCAGCACCCAGACACCTATCGCCTCAATCGATTCAGCAGGCACGAGATTCGGGTTTTAACGCTGATCGCCTTCGTCGTTTAGGGGTCATAAATCCGGACGCGTTTTGCGAGATATGCTGTAAAGAGTACTGTAATAAGTACTTCCTGCGAACGCATAAAATGAAGAGGCACGGTATCATCGTCCAGGACAACGAAAGGTCGCCCAGTAATCCAGGATCAACGCCTAGCTGGCATCAAGTGCAGACCAGTCCGTTAAATCTGATCGTGACGGAGAATCCTGGTAGCACGGAGTCGAACGAACGAATCGGCGACGATTACGAGTGTAAACAGTGTGGCATACGTTTCCAAACGATTGGCCTGTATCAGGCACACTGCCGGAAGATGCACGACAGCGAGGAGCAGCAGTCGCCCAGGCAGGAGTGCGAGCTGGAACCGACGGATCAACGAAACGATTCGATCTCGAAGAATCTTCAAAAGTTGCAGACCATGCTGTTGCAACTGAACGGACTCAAGTCTGCCAAGGGGCTATCGTGCAACGTGTGCGGAAAAGAATGCGAGACCAGAGCTGCTTTGCATATTCATATGATAACGGAACACGGTGGCATCAGCGAAGATTCCGCGTCCTCGCCGCAAGAAAAGTCACCCTTGATCGCGACCACCGCGTTCTGCACCCTGTGCGGCAAAGACTACGTCAGTCAAGATGCTCTCAGAAAACACATCACCGAGGAACACCAGCCAACGATTTCGAGCACCATCCCGCACACTCCTACCACCACGGCCACCACCACCAATTCGAATTCGGCGAGCCAGACCCCGACCGAGAGAAAAGTCACATCGATGACCCCCACGTCCAGCTATTGCGAGATATGCAACAAGGAATTGTGCAATAAGTACTTCATGAAGACGCACATGCAAAGGATGCACGGTATCGAGATCGAGAACGGGGCTCAGATCGGGGGCGTGATATGCAACATTTGCAACAAAGAACTCTGCAGCAAATACTTTTTACGCGTTCACAAGCATAACACGCACGGCATAGTGGACGAAAACGCGTCCAGTTCGGTGAAGCAAGAGAGTCACGAGGCAACGAACGCGGATGACACGGCATTAAAACCGGAACAACTCGGCGACCTGAGTCACAGATATTTCACCCACTTTACGGAGGTCTGCCCGATCTGCAGCAGAAGGTTCCGCAGTATAAAGTGGCTGAAGGCTCACCTGATGGGTGACCATGGGAAAACGGGCATCGATAAATGGCGCGAAATGGAGCAACAGTATCAAACGACGCCCAAGTCGGGAAACAGAGCGGTGAACATGACGTCGAAGAACACGCAGCAAAGCTCGAATTTGAAGATACCGAACGGATTCGAAATCTCGCAGCAACTCAAGACCACCGATTACTCTGGCTTGGGTAACCAAGTTCTATCCAACTTATTGGGCTCGTCTTCGGAAGATCAACAGCTGAAGAGCTATCGTTGTTCCTATTGCAATTTCACCACCACCGTGCTCCCGTTCCTCTTCCTTCACGAGAGATCTCACGTGAGTTCCCGAGACAACGTGGAAGGGGAGAAGTCGCTTCAATGTCCGATCTGCTCGCAAGGCTTTCATCAACCGGAGATGCTGCATCAACATCTACTCGCGTCGCATCAGTTTCCAACGTTGCTGCCTCATTTTCAACCCCCCGTGCTTAACAGTTTGGGCCTGGACGCGGAGAAATTGAGCGACGTCAAAGAGAAATTCGATCTAGAAGCGAAGGAGGATCGTACAGGGAACAGCCCCCAAGTCACCGCCAATCAAAATATCCCCGATCCGATGAGAAGCAAACGGCAGGACGACACGGCGGTCCAAGTTACTCCTCAGGGTGTATATAAGTGCGCACAGTGCGGTTATGCGACGACCAATTTGAATAGGATTAAGAAGCACGTGAGAAAGGACCACAAAACGATCGGGGATCCTACCGACAGCGTGCTCGCCGAGCTTAGCAGAACTTTGAAGGACGTTGCCAACAGGCACAAGGTGCCAGCTTGCTACGCGATGCCACAGGATATGAACTCGAACCCCGACAAGACCATCATGCAGCCTTTCCTCATCGAGGAACAGGACACGCTGCAAGTCGGCGAGGAGTCCAGCTCGGAAAAGCGATTCGCCCCGGCTTTGGTCTATCTGCCGGTGAAATCGCGAATCAACAACGCGCTCACCGCGTCCTTCACCCTCAGTCCCGCTTGAAACTTCTTCCTTCTTCGCGATCATCCCCTTGGATTCTACCACTCGTCTCTACGTCTGCGATTTGAGCACGTGTTATTAGTTCCTATGTAAAGTGTAAGGGAATAGTTAGGGAAAGTTTATATATATTTTTCATATACGTGACTCGTCGAGGGTTCCATTCATCCGTTGTTTAGATTCGCGTCGCAATTCTCATCGCACGTTTTCTCGCGCAGCGAACAAGGATCTAAGAAGTACGTTCCGGAAAATGCCCTTCGTGTCCGTGTATTTGTCCGTATTGCTTGCTCGATGACTTTTCGTTCCTTTTTCTACCGCGTACATTGCAGACACGATGTATAGTGTTTATTAAAGGCCAACGGAGAATATCTTGGATCCTGCCTCAACGTACGCTCGTTTTAGCGAAGCACAGCAAAGGATCCTGCGTTTGAAAGCCACGTTGTTATACTGTTCCATTTCGGGAACGTTTTATTGTACATAGTATAATCGTAAAACTGACACGAACGGGTGATCGAAAAAAGTTCCTATTTTAAACGCGACCTCCGGAAAAAGCATACTGAACCGTGTCTAATCTTTCGAACAACGCTCTCCTTCGTTCCTTTTAATTATTTTCGCTTTCGCTCAAACCAAATTGCGAGCCATGCAGGATAGAAAGAAAGGAAAGTATACGTGACGCCGACTGGTCGTTGGTCGAACGTCGCCGATACGTACTTTATCGATGGTTTTTATTTTTCGCGATCGTGCTAGTCAATATTTTATATA